TGAAGAGTATAAATTTTCAAATTGGATTGTAAGTGAGAGCTAAGTAAGCTGTCAATGTTCACCTTCAAGGAACTAGTTGTGTTACAAATAATGTGGCATTAACTCTAAAGTTTAGCTAGAATGAACTATGTGAAATATAGTTCAGAAGTCTAAATCAGAATGCATGTGCTGTATTCATTTATCAGTAATTTTTTATTTATAGTTTACATCTATCACTCTTGCTCTAATTTCCTTGGTATTTAAGGAAAACATTTACCAATGGTTTTGTATCAATGTATCCTAGATTTTCATTGCTGGTTCTTTTATTAACTCCTCTTTCCTATGTATATGTTAGGAACTAATTTATTTCTGCTTCCTTTCTAATGTCATCTTCTCATGAACCTAAGAAAATCTACCACATTAGAAAACAAACCATCGATTTCCTCAATGCCTCTTTGAGTTTTTTTTCTTTCTTGCTTTCTTGTTTGGGTACATTGCCATCACCCCTGGCTGCTCTCTCTAGACATTTAGTTTTTCTGTCCTTAGTACCATTCACAATAACCTCCTTCTTTCTCTGGGGAGAATAATTCACATGTAGTGTATGAGAGTTTCCCTGGCCCCACTGAGTCCATGAAGCAACTGTGTTTGTGTCTTAAATACACCAATAATCCCCAGAATAGGAAGATCTTCTTTCATCCATAGTAGGCACTCAAAGTCAGGAGACAGTTCATAGATGCCATATTAATACCAGCCTTAACGTAAGCCTTATTAATAAACTGTCTGTATTAAAGCTTCTGCCTGCATCTAAATCCCTATTTTCCAGCATCTCATGCATGACATCACATCAGTTTGAACCAGATATTTCTTCTGTTTTGCACACCTAAATATATGTATGTATGTATGCATGTATATAATATGTATTTCATGCATTGTTTTTTAGCAGGTACCATTCGGGGTTCCCCAGTCACTTTTTTCATCTAACGAACACAGATTCCACCTGTGAAATGGTGTTTCCTAAGCAGTGCTATTAGTATCCTGTTACAATCTTCAAACTTTCTAGCCACCTAAAGAACATTTTTCCCCCTTTGAGGCAGGGTCTCTTCTGTGCAACCCTGGCTGTCCTGGAACACACTCTGTAGACCAGGCTGGCCTCAAACTCATAGAGGTCCACCTGCCTCTGCCTCCCGAGTGCTTGGGATTAAAGGAACATGCAGCCACTACTGTCCGGCTCAAAAAAACTTCCTTTTATGTGGATTTTACAAGTTTATCATAATATATTAAAATGTAAGATATTTATGTGTAACAGTATTAAGCAATTATATAGTAACATCAGCAATATGTTTATAAAATTAGCTGTTTTTAAAATGAAGGCCTTCAGAAAGTAGCATTAAAACACTTTTGCCAGGCAGACTAACAAAAGAAGATACACATAAACACATGAAAACACTAATGGGAAACCATAATATACAACAAGTGAAAGAATAAGATTTTTTTAAAAAGTCAAAACAAAGCAAATGAGCCAAAAAAAAAAAAAAAAAGTCTACAGAAACGCCATTGTGTCCATTTTCTGTTGGCCATCTACTGCTGGGCATGGCACCTACCTTGAAGTGTGCTTAGAATACTCAGTGAGAATATCTGGTTTAAGTAGAGACAGCTAAACTCAGACTTATGCATGTCGTTTACTATGTAAAAACTGTGTGGATGATGAAGTGCATGGAAGAATTAAGCTTTGCATAGACATGTAGTTGAAAGGAACTTTTAGATGAGTCAAAACTTGATACAGGGTATGTTTCAAAAGATTGACTGCAAAATGGAAATCTGAAGGATATCAATGACTTGTAGCCAGCCTAACACTAAAAACTATATTTAAGTATGCATAATGGCCACTTGAATAATATTCAGTAAGCTGCACAGACCTTCAGAACACTAATATATTTCATAATGCAACTTTCTTATAAACTCATATTTTAAAAAATCAATTTTATGAGAAAAGTCTGAACTTAATATTATGGCTGGGAAAGTCAGCATGCACAGAGGTTTTGCTTGAAAGTTCAGATTTTGTCACCATTGGTTAATATTTTCAGTTGTCAGGCTTGTTTTACCTGTTTTCATTCAGTTCTTCCTACACAAAGCAGAAAGAGTGATGCTGAATGACAGGTCACACTGCAGCTCAGATCTGTGCTCACACTAGCTGTCCTGCTTCAGCATGCATCATCTCCACTTTGTGCAGGCTCCAGTTTGCCAGAAAATGTTCAGAAGTGTGCAGTGTGCTGGAGAGATGGTCGGCAGGCAGCAGGTACCCACCTGAGTCCTTCCCAGCTGCTTGTAACTCCAGTTTCAGGGTTCTGACACCTGGCTTCTGCTTCTGCAGGTCCCTGCAGTCCCGTGCACATACCCATACACACACCTATCCCATACACACATCCACACACCTATACCTCATTAAAAATACATTTTGAGGTGTTTTTAAGAGTCAAAGGTTAATAAAATTTTGATTTGTTATGTCAAGATACTTTAAAGTGAAATTAGATTGTGGTGTGGCTAGTGTTCTTTCATTCATGCGCATTTAGTTTGACCTAAATATGACTTTGAATGGCAATCCAAAAAAAGCTACCAAATGGCATTTTAATAATGTCTCAGTATTACGAAAATAATTTTAACCTCACAGATGCAATGAAAGGATCATGGTCCTTGCTAAGTTCCCTGAGTCCATGGACAATTTTGAGAACTGCTTCTTAAATAGAAACATGTTGCCCTTGGTCACTCCACTTTTTGAATTTCACCCTTTATTGAATTCCCCCCTTTGTCATCTTAATAGTTTCCTAATCTATATTCTATTCATTACTGTATTTCTCTCCCCCAGTAAGTAATCTTACTGGAATATAAATCTGATTATGTTGTTGTCCTTATTAAAATCTGTAATATGTTCCGTCACTTGGGCGAAATTTTGGTCCCTTTGTAGGACACAAAAGGCTGTTTATCATGCATATCCTACTACCTGTATTCTTACCCCTGTACACCTCCTATGTCAGCCAGGGCCAATTCTCTCAACACAATTGACTCTACAACCCCACACATTTGCATATGCTGTTCTTTCCACTTTGAATTCTTCTAATTCCTACATATACCTCTAACTGCATATCATTATCCAAGTTGCTTCATGTCACACTTAGAGAATGTTATATTAAAAGTTGTTAAAGCACTTAGTGTTTCACATCTATTTTCTTATGCCATTTCTCCCCCACTGGGTTGCAAACCTGCTTGAGGTCAGAACTGTATCTTCTTATCCTCTCAGACTCACTAAAACAAAAGCATATAGTAATCATTTGATCAACTTTGAGCACTTGAGTGAACTTCATAGAAATTAGTATCAAAATACAAATCAACACCATGATATTTTATCCCTTTTTTAATATAACCAGTAAGTTTAGTTACTCCTCAGTAGTAAAAGCTCTGGACAGGCAGGAAATGTACGTGTCAGTGTATGTCTCTGCATAATTAAATGAAATACTCCTTTATTTCCATACTTTTGACTGAAAGTAAAATAGAAGGCATTTCTGAAAAATTATACTGAATCAAGTTTTGAAATATTAATATTCAATCCATTGCTTCAACTCAAATTCTAATCCCATTAGATTTCCCCCTATTTAATTCTTATAATGGCCGGTATAGTGGAATGCATCTTCAGGAACCATAGACAGGTGATCTCTGAGCTTTAGGCCAGCTTGGTGGAGGCTCCATATTGAGACAGCCTATCTCAGAAAGAAACAAAAACCTTACTTATCAAAAGACAAAAAGCTCTTTTCTACTAGTGTCTGAAAAATACTAGGTAGCAGCATTCAAGCTTTTAAGTTATGTCCTCAGCCATGTGTGCTCTTAAACTTGGCTGGCTATAGTTTCTGCTTTAGCTTAGTACAGTTAAATGCTTCCTGTGGAGGGGCGCCTGTTGGAAAGGCACCTGACTCAGTGAACCCATCAATATGCAGTGGTCAGGAGCAAAAAAATCCTTGTTCACAAAGGCACTTTTTACTAGGATTTTTAATGCTTGAACTTTAAAAGTTGAGTTTTTCTTGTATTTAACAAATTTCATTGTCGAGCATTTATTTCACGTAACATATGTGTGTATATAAAGATTAAACACAGATTACATTGATTGCATATTGTCCTGCCTGTTGACCAAGTCACTGTCTGTTAGCCTCCAAGTGGAGGAGATGAAGTTTTAAAAACCCATCCATCCATCACTTGGGGCCTTGTTTAGAATTTACTGTGACTGAGTCAGTACAGTGCAGCTTTCACAGCCCCCACCAGATATTCCATAGGGAATATAACAGTTACAGAACTCATGAAAATCCAGTCTTTCAGACACCTTTATGTACTATAAGGGTTTCTTTGTAATAGATTTACTGATTTTTTTTTTCTTCTATCTGCCTTTAACATGCATTTACTGTGTAAAAGCCAGTCATGGTAGAGATTCCCATGCCACAAAAGATTCTGAATTAATGAAATGTGTATCACATAGTCATATATGTGTCCTTTAGGTTTTCCAGAGATACTTTTGGCCAAATATTGTTTCTTGGCATAATGCTTAGATTTTCTTTTGTTGTTCTTTCCCCACTGACTTCAAGACTTATGAATGGCTAACATTATCTGAGCCCTATGTCAGTACTGTGTATAAAATGTCCTGGTGCCTCCTAGGAAATAAAGTAGCCTCATTTGATTAAATGTACAGAAATTTATTGTAAGATGTAGTAATTATCATCCTGAAGAATGGAGTTAGTAGATTTATAAGAATAATAGCAAGTTTTATAATTTCAAAAACTTTACTGGAAAAAGTTCCCTTTTGTAACACTTTTGTACTTCAAATGAAAAATATATTGAAAACTAAATGATATATAATTATTTTGGCCATAAAATCTGTATTCCAGCATTCCTTTATTACAAACATTGTCACCTGTTTCTTTTCTTCATAATTTCTTAATTCTTCATTTTTTATCTAATTTGACATTTTCATATTTTTAAAGGTCCCCAGGTGCATCCAATTTTTCAGCTTTACCAAAGATCTCTCCTTCATCTCTATCAAACAATTATAACAACATCAACAGCAGAAAGTAAGCACTGGATCTTAAAAACTTTCTTTAATTGGTTGGCCCTATGACGGTTACAAAAAGATCTCTTTTATCTAAAATTTAGGACAAAAGTCTTCATGAATCAAAATTTGCTTTCTCTTAAATCACTGATCAGTTCTTTCATAAGTCATTTCAGAAGAAATAAGACACACTTTAAAGACCATTTGATTTAATACAGGATAGTATGTAATAGTTGGCTGAACAATAAAAAGAACTTTCAGAATTTTATAGTCTCAATTTTAGACTCTAATTAGTGACATTTTTCTAGGACTTTGTCACAACTCAAGCTTAGAGGATGAATATAAATCTCATTGTCATATTGGTCTGATATTCATCCATGATAAAACCATGTGTCAGTCATTCTTAGCCAGAGAGCGGGTATACGGAAAAATCAACTTTTCATAATAAACAGTTCCTGTTCCACATTCTCTTGGACAATCCTATAACATCTGATTATGGGTATACTGCCTTGAAGATTGCGTTTTTTGGTAGAGTCAGTTTGTCCCTTCCTCCTTAAAATGGGTTTCAGGGGTTGAAATCAGGTCACCAGGCTTATATGCCTGCTTTACCTGCTTGAGCCATCTCACTGGCCAAGCATGCCATTTTTATCTTAGTGGACAAAAAGGAAAAAGAAAACCATTTTAATTGTCATTTGCTCAACCAGTGTATAAGAACTTTATCTGTATTTATTAATGGGTATGATATATACCCTGTGGTTATGGGATACCTTCACAGTGCACATTACTGAGCCCCACAAATGGCATCTGATTTATAAATTTGAAAACACTAAAGCAGTTTGTGAAAAATCATAAATCAAGCTATAATTCCTTTTTTGGGTTTAATTTTCCTGTTAAAATCCCCTGTGTTTTGTAGGAACTTGGATTTTAAGTAGATGATGATAGCTAATTTTAAAGGGAAAAAATGGCAAACGAATTTGATGTTCTCAAAAAGCATTCTAAGCAATGAAAAATGTTTTCAGTTATCCAAGAAATACCATCCAAAAGATTGCATAGCTTTCTGGATGGTTTTTCTTTAGAATTTTCAATCTAAGATTATTATCGAGCATTAAAAAGAAGGTAAGAGAAATGAAAAAAAAAAACACTTAAAAAAATAAAAAGATACCAGGTTCATAAAGGTTAGAGATTTCCTGAAACAGAAAACTAAATAATATAACTTGGTAATAAGAGGAATTGAGTGTAAAGAGTCTCACTAATTTGTTTTGTAAGTTACAACCATAAAAAAATATTCTTATAAGACTTTCTTCTGAGTAGCTGTAATAGGGACACACTTTTTAGTAATAAGTTTCCCAGTTCAGATCAAGCCAGCTTAAGACATCTTCATTTCATAATTCATAAAAATTATATACACTATATATTAATATTACACTGTAGATATACTAAGGTATGAATATCTAGGTGTTACATTTGTTTCTTTTCGACATAAAAACACATACCAGCAGAAAGAGTTTCTAGAGAAAGAAATATTTTCTAACCCAGTTTGTATTTTACATGTATTTTAATTCATCAAAATTACTTTTTGGAGGGGATAAGTTTTGTGTTTGTACCAGTTGCAGATGGCTCCCACATCTACTATAAAATAAGTAAATTATGCCCTTACACTTCTTTTTAAAACAATTTTAACATTATGTATAAGTGGGATTGACTGTAGACTGTATTTTGACTGGAGTTATTATGTTGGTTTATGTGGTTTCTTGTTTTTCTGTTGTTGTCTTATTTTCTCCCTTCTTGTAATAAAAAATGTCATAGCGCACTCTAATCTCAGAACAATCTGAAAAAAGAAACTCCTAAAGGAAACTGGAGGTTTTTTAGGGGATTGTAATAGGAATTACCTCCAGAGGAACTCCACTATGGTTGTTCTTTAAAAGCTTGCAAGGAAGCCATATGATTGATTTACCTGAGTAATGAACAGAATTTAGGGATTTTTTGTTTTGTTTTAATTTTTAAAGCTTGAATTTTTATTTAAGTAACTAATTTATATAAGGTTTATTTCTTTGATTTCATTTGACTTGTGGAAATAAGTAGTAACCAAGACTTGAGGTGGAAATAGTGCAGTTTCAATAAAAGTAGTCAACAAGATAGTGACCTCTCTAGGTAACATAGTTTTAAACTTTGTGTATGTGGAAGTAGTTTACAGTATTCAATTGTATATTAAAATCTGTAGTATAACTACAGATTTAATTATATAGTAAAAACAGTAGATACGTAGGATTTATGTGAGACATTTACAAGTCCAAGATTAAAATTATTATATACTGATACATTACCAAGAGATTAAATTTCATTTTCAGACATAACAGTACTATTGTAACTGTGATAAAGTGTACTTACAATTATTTATATTTAATAAAATGTTTTTATTTAAAAATTGTGAAAAGTCTGTTTTGGGAATATAGTTTATTTACTCTGTATAGTAATGTTACTTCTTAGCTTATGAAATATTTTTGACTCAATTACAATTTATAAACATTTTTAAATAGGTCAATTCTTTAACTGTTAGTGGTTTCTTTATTTTTATTTCTCTGCCTTATTGTATTTGGTGATATTACTTACACTGCTATTAAAGATATTTTAGTGATTTGTTGTCTAGGTTTTAACATACCATTTTAAAGTAGGTGTTATGTTAATTTATCTCAGTCTGTTTTGAAATTAAAATGATGCCCTGTATGAGATTAAGTCATAACAGTAACTGTAGATTTGTAGTCCCTTGAACTTGCCATCTGTTTTCACTGAATAACCTAGGTGAGTAGGTTTTTGTTAACTGCAAAGTGAGCATGGTTAATTATATATTCATGATGTCAGACATCAATATTAACTGATAAGTCTTTTGGAAAGTTAAATAAAAAATTCAGATGTAAAATGTTCCATTTACACATACCACCATTTAAAGAGGATTTACAGTACAATACACAGTACAGTATTAAAATTCCTACTAATCCTTCTGTGAATTTAATCTTTCAGAATAGTATTTAAAGATGATGGCTGCAAAAAGAGAAGCAGAAGCTTCCAGGGGCCTGGGAAAGCTTTTCAGGTTTCCATGCACTCTGTCGAGTGTACAGACAGCTGCAAGCTTCTGTCCTTGTCATGGCAAGCCTTCATGTGCAGTGTAACATACATAGTATGGAATGTAATAACCAGCAGAGAGAATTGAGTAGTTTAGTTTTTTTATTCATTGGCTTCATTATCAACATTGTGCATATAGGCTGTCTTAATCTTTGGGTGAGCATTTTACAGGTCCCAGCATTTAAACCAAAGGATAGACACCTCTTAAAAGATTCAGATTTGCCGGGCGTTGGTGGTGCAGGCCTTTAATCCCAGCACTTGGGAGGCAGAGGCAGGTGGATCTCTGTGAGTTCCAGGATAAACCTCCAAAGCAATACAGAGAAACCCTGTCTCGGAAAACCAAAAAAGAAAAAAAATAAAATAAAATGCTGATTTTTTTTTTAAAAAAAAACAACCATAAAACTGTTTTGCACATCAGATTTTCCCATTTCAGGGTCAGTAAAATGTCTAGCACTTAGAAGCAGTCCATTTTATTTACTTCTAGTATGAGATCTTGATTCTCATTCATGTTCATCTTAATGAATTCAAAGGCATCCCAGCATCTATTAGTGTTACATGTAAGGCAAGAGAGCAGAATATGTGCTTCTGGGATAAGCATGTAAATGTGCTTTAATGGGTACCTTAAGCACATGTGTGTGTTCATGTGTACAGGTGTGCACATGAGTACAACTGTGGAGTAAGGGTGCTTTGCTCTTTTTGCTCTGCCTACATAAATTTCACAGTCAGGCTGTGTCTGTTTTTTGTTTTTGTTTTTGTTTTTTTCCTCATGTAGAAATGTCTAAGAAAGGAAATACAGGCCTTTTAAAAAACTGTATAGGAGATCTTGATTTGAATTACAGTCTGAGTGATGATACATTAAATTACCACCTGGTATTTGGGTAAGTTTTTACTTACTAGGACTATAAAACAAAATAAAATATGTTACATGGCTAGTAATTTATAAAAGAAGAAACTTGAGTTCTATTTGTCTGCTTTATAATTAAGTTTAAAACAAAACTCCGTTTAGTCCAGCGGTCGTAAATTTTATTTCATCAAGTTGCATTTCTCTGAGCCTTGATATTTTCACTTAATCTTAGGATTCCTTTGGGAAAGCCAGGGAGTTGATATTTTTGTTGTTGTTGAGAAGGGAATGGTTTTGTTTTGTTTAAGCACCAAAAATATTCATAGTCTTTATCAAAAACAGGAGGATTCTGAAGGAGAGTTTATGGGATTGGATTAAAGTGGAAGAGAAAAACAAGAGGGTAACCTATCTGAAAGTTGCAGCTTCAGGGGAGGGACGAGCGGGTGAGGGAAGAGAGAAACCATGGTTTTCTGAGTTAGAGATAAGTCTACAAACAAGGTGCAGAAAGATTGAGGTGGCCCTGACTGCTAGCACAGATGTGCTCAGAAGTTAGGATAGATAGTATTAGAGGAGGGAAAGGGGTAGGATGACAGACAGGTCAGGAAAGAGGACAGGCGTGGCAGTGACGATTTAGGAGCACTGCATTAAAGCAGGGCTTCTGGAGTCTGTAAGCCATCTGATGAATCAATCGGTTCAGCACAGCTTAACAGTTAGGAGCTTTCCTGAGGCATGATCGTCCTCTTCAAGTGATAGGTCCAACTTTAACTCTAAAGGAAGGGGCAGTAATGTGTTTTTGTAAGCCTGTAACCTTTAGGCAGTGACTCTCATCCTTCCATTATATACTACCCTATAGCGAAGTTCCTCGTGTTGTGCTGACCTCCAACCATAAAATTATTTTCATTGCTACTTTATACCTGCAAATTTGCTACTGTGATGAATTGTAATATAAACATTTTTTTAGAGACAGAAATTTGTCAAAGGGGTCGAGATCCACAGGTTGAGAACCACTGCCTTGGGGACATTTAGAATGCTGTCTCTCCACTTAGGGCCAGAGATAAAAGTCAGGTTACATTGCGTTGTCCAAATTCACTAAAAAAGTAGATTTCAAAATAAAATGATTTTAAATAAAAACATAAAAATAGTCATGCTTTACCAGGAGGAAGAAGCTTTCTATAATGTGCCTCCGCCAAGCTGCATGATGTTTCTAATCCTCAGGACAGGAACTAGGATATTGTCCTGTCTTAAAAATTTGTATGTTACCATGAAAGTGCACCAAGGCTGGCCATGAGCTAAAGGGTCTGTCCTTGATGAACTCTGAGCCTGTAAGCTACCTAAGAGTTGTGTCTAATCGTGGGTTGGCTGTTCTGTGCTTGTCTGTTGTTTGGTATGGTGTGCATATGTTTACTAAACCTTTTTTAGATTATTCAGTTCATGTAAACCATTACAATCAAGTGAAAGTGAAATGTATAGAATAACAATGAAAAATTTGAAACTAAGAGAAAATTGTCAGGAATAACTGGATTACTGGAGTTACCGATTTTATTGTGTTTATTTGTAAAATAGCATTTTATTTTATACCATCATTTACTTTATCCATGACCTTGACTTGTGTCCAGGTTCATCCTAATGAATAAAATGGACTGAAAATATGATTTTTTGAACTGTTTCCAAAGTATCTCTTACAAATATTCTTACAAAATAACTACCCTATAAAAATTAAGAATTCATCTTTTTTATAAAATTATTTAAAAATAAGATATTTTAACTTATTGACTTAATTCTAAAATTATTCTGATTTCCTAAATTTTAGACTATAGAGGGTTTTTTTGTTTGTTTGTTTGTAAAGTTAAATGCAATATTGCAGCAACTAGAAGAAAAGGCGAGTGGTAATGCTTTGATCTGCTTGCACGTGATCCATTCTGCATTTCAGTACTAGATTTTGCTAGTCTAGCTTAGAAGCTATAAATAGAATCTTCAATGCATCTCAACAGTGATGTCACAGTGGCCTTGGGCCTCTCAGTGCTCATCTGTAACTAGAGCCCAGCTCTCCCCGCTCCTGCAGTTCTCACTCTTATCATAGCAGACTAATTCAAAAGGGACATTAATGCGATGATTTATTGCTGCGGGTGGTGTTTAAAATCTGAATGTTTTAATTTTGATGGAGCAATGCAGACTGGAGCAAGCCATGATGCTGCTCCCATTAATCCAGGGTAGAATGATATAATAGTGGCTTTTATTGAGTGATGTGACTTCTAATATGGTGCTTTGTTGCTTGGATAAAGAATGCCTTAATTAAGGAGGTTACTTTGGAAGTGGTATCTCAGAATGTGCCAGTTGAGGGTTCAGTAAAATGTACTTAATGATTAACCACATATTTCATTGCATATACTTAAAGTACTGTTTATTGTAAGTGTATTGTAATGGAATTGGCTACATTTTTATAATTTTTTTCTTCCAGTGTGAAAAACTCAAATTACTGTCTCCCGTCATATACTGCTTATAAGAACTATGATTATTCAGAACCTGGAAGAAACAATGAACAACCAGGCCTCTGTGGCTTAAGTAACTTGGGAAATACGTGTTTCATGAACTCAGCTATTCAGGTAGGTCTTTCCAAACAGACTGAAACTCATGTTTTATGGAATTCATTGCTACAAAAAGAGTACAGTTGTTTGTGTACAAGAATATTACATGTTTTGACAATGTGTAATTCACGGGGTGCTTGGCAAGCACATGTGGCTCATGGCTCATGCTGCTGGTAGGGGTAGGTTACCTTGCTTCCCAGTTAGGTCACATGGTTTATTGCTGTATTCAGACCAAATGTTACTTCATGTGAAACATATTATTCCAAGCGGGAAATTTAAATTCCCAAAGTAGACGCAGATAGTGGCCTCTCTCCTTTATTCAGTAGAGGTTGCTTTAAGAAAATCTTAAAACTTCAATGAGGCCTTGACATTTAAAAATAGAGATACTCATCCTTCCTTTCCCACACACATTTTAACTTGTTTCTCGTCAGGAGCTTCTGGTTTGGATGTATGAGAAAGAGATGCTACTGCCTCCTTGCCCATTTCTTTCCATGGACTTTACTTTTTCATACATTCTGTTCATTCTTCGTGTTTGTTAGATATTTATGTCTTTAATCTGAAGTAGTGAAAGAAATATATATATTGAAGTAATTCATATATATAAATTAGAGCAGGTTGCTTTAGTCCCCTTTTGGTTGTTTTGGTTTTTTGTTTGTTTGTTTTGAGACAGGGTTTCTCTTTGTAGCTATAGGTGTCCTGGAACTCACTATGTAGACCAGGCTAGTCTTGAACTCATAGAGGTCCATCTGCCTCCCATCGTGGTGGGATGAAAGGGGTATGCCACCAGTGCTTGATGCTAATCCTTTTTTTTTTTTTTTAATAAATAAAATCTCTGTGTTTTAAAAAGCCCAAATTAGGGTAGACTATTCTTGATATTTTAACTTAATGACATTGTCTTTTCTGTGAATTCTGATTGTTAATTTTAAATCTGATATTTTTTGTTCATATTTTAAAATTCAGTCTCCTCTACATAGGAGGTTACCTCCAAAGATAAAGTACAGAGTATGGATTGGTGAAAATACCCACAAATCTCTTAGACTAACCATTATCTTCTGAATACTATATTACCAAACTCAGTAATTATTTCAGATAAGCTGCATCAGTGCTGTCATTAATTTATTCTGCAAATATTTAAGTCCTGTTGAGAATGTTTTGCTCTGCTAGGTACTAATTATACTATTAACAAACAGTTCTGTTCTGTCAGGTTTATAGTCTAGTAGGGGGAGATCAGTATTACAGTCTGTAGTAAATTTTAATAAGCATCACAAAGAGGAAAAGTGGAATGTTACTGTAACAACAGTCCAGATAGCTCTTAGTTTATACTGAGTGTCATGCCTCTCTGATACTCATATTTGAACCGTGACCAAATAGCAGGTATAACACAGATGTAAATTGAGTTAGATGGAATAAAACCACATATAAAGCCCCTAAGATACACCATGTTGGAAGAACCAAAGGAGTACTGTGGAATAATAAGTGAAGTACGTGGCATGGACAAAATGTGGTTTGTTTGTTTATTTATTTGTTTGTTTTTTAATGAAAGCCAAATCGAGGATAATTTACCTGTGCATGTTACAAAAATACTGAAAGTTCCAGGCTTCCAAGTCTCATTTCTTAGAGGCTTTCTTTGTTTCTGCCCTCAATCCTGCCTGTGAAGTATAGAGAGTTCCTTTTCAACCTAAGGAAACTGTTTTCCATTACTTTGACCTTTAACACTGTCTTTTCATTTGGCTAAGCCCTGGGCACAGGAAGGTGGTTCCTTGAGTAAAGTGCTTGTAATCACCCTTGAGGACTTGAGTTCAGATTCCCCAGCAGCCAAGTAAAAACGCCAGGCATGTAATCCAGTGCTGGGAAACAGAGAGAAGAGGATCCCAGGAGATGATGTCTGGTCAAATCAGTGAGCTCCAAGTTCAGTCAGAGTCTCTGTCTTAAAAGATATGGTGGAAAGCAACTAAGAAAGACATCCAGTGTTGACCTCGGGCCTCCATAGATGTGTGTATAGTTATGTGTTCATGAACACACATTCACACAACATAGTTCATCCTTAAACCTGTACAAAGTCCTGTATAATCTAGGCCTGGTGCATTATATCCCACCACTTTTTCATGAAGTTTACTTTATCTGTAATGACTCACTGTACTAAAAAGTTTGTTTTTGTGTTTTAATGTTTTAATGTAACAATCTGACTCTTAGTGTCTGCATCTTTGCCCTCTGACTTTGCCAGGTCTCTAACAGCCAGAAAGGAGGCCCTTCCCGAGTACCCTGTGGAAAATAGTAATGACTTTCCTCACATTCTGAGTGCAACTCATGACCAGCTGGTGTGTTATTTGTATTTAAGGGTTTTTGTTCATCTCTTTCA